TGTCACGTCTGAATTAAGAATCGTATAAATATGAAATATAAGATGAGGTTGCCCTCTTACGTAGTAAAGACGAAGGTGTTTCTTATTTATATTATTTTTATCTTATGAGAAGATGGATCTGGTACGAAGAGTATTGAACGACACGCGCCAGGTATCACAGCTAAAAGACTTGGTTGGTTGTAAACCTCCTCTGTCTCGGTTTACAAACTTCAACCGCGTCTCTTATTTGGTGTTTATCGTCCTAATGACGTTAATAACTATTCCTAGTAGCAAATTCTATAATAATTATTGTATTATGAAATCAAATGCAATCTCTTCTGCTTAAAAAAAATTTCCGACGAGGCTCAGTATTTATTGATTATATCATGTAAAGAATTATACATTTATTGATATTTGAGCTGTTTTTCAAAACCGAACATTGTATATTTTCACGGTCATTTGCATTATTCATGAGTTGAGTTTCCATTCTGTGTGTTTGATTCGCAATTATAAATTCCTCGAATACATGTTTCAGCGAACTGAAAAAAATAAAGAAAAAAATAACAGCTGAAATGTGAAATGTGCTGCGTTTGTGAGAAAGATTCCAGTCGTTCTGGGAATAGTTCCCCGGAGCAGCTGTTATGCCACATCACACGAGTGTCTACGTCTTCGGATCAGCCGACCTTCGGACGTTATCATGTCAGTGTTTGTGTACAAACTGCGAGACCATCTGGCGCGATGAACACGCGGCACGGGTCGTGAGCTAACAGCTTCACTGTAATGAGAAATTAACTGCTAAAAGTGATTAAAAATATGGGAACATCGATAGACGCTAGACTACATTAATCTTGGGAAGATCCAAACTCGGAAAATGAAACTTGAACACTTTTGTTGCTACCTGACATCGAAAAAGTTTTTTTTTCTGCAAATGTATGTCCGCCTGAGCTTGACTAGCACGTAAACAGTGTTTCAGTGATTTAAATCGAACGATTTAAACAAAAATCGCGCATTTATTCGAATGATTTATTTTTTCTCAGATTAATTCTTTTTACAAAATGGTAAAAGGTATTTGTTGTTAATTTCAAAGAATTATGAAACGTATTCAGGAAGCCAGGAATTATTCGAATGATTTTTTTTCACACATTAAATATTTTTTTACAAAATGGTTAAAGGTATTTTTTGTTAATTTCAAAGAATTATGAAACGTATTCAGGAAGCCGGGAATAATAACATGAATATCAGCTAAACATGTTATTCAAAACGATTATAATTTTAAAAAAAAGCTATGTTAAAGCTAAAGCTAAAGCTAAAGAGCAATACAATGATATAGTTTTACAGATTATTCTTGCGGTTCAAATGTTTGTCTAAAATACGAGTGAGGCAACCCTTTCAGTTCCCAAACGAGGCGTTGAAGGTCAGTCGTGCTCCTCTGGGAGGAGGTAGAGGTTGCTTCGCCACGGCACTCGCGTTAAACCATATCTTACTCGCAGGTTATGCTTAATCAATCCTCTCAGTTTTTTAAGTTGCCTTGAACTTATCTCGCCATATTTGGTCTACATACGCACTGCCTGGGCGTGTCTTTAGAATAGTTTTTGAAAACTTTACATGGCACCAGATATATTAATATCAATATTTCACGTAATAGAACTTAATAACACGATTTTTACAGCCGAAACATAAAGTCTAATAACGTCCAGATATTCTCTCATACATATTAAGTTTCTGGTTAATCAGATTAGTCGTGGACTATCAATTTCTGCGAAAATCTCGACTGAGAAGTTGAGTTTTGTTTACTTACTTTCCTTTATTAAGTCGCGGAATATTATTTCATTAATTATTATCATCATGAATGTCATTATTTCTAATTTTCGTTGAAATCTCTGATTTTTTAAAAATGCCAAAGTTTACAATTTTGTCGTCTTCCTGCAACTGCAATATTGAAGATAGCTATTTTGTTCGTGAATGAAATCTAGTGTTCAATTAACGTTTATTTAAATACTTCGAAAATATGGGTTATTTCGCGTGATTTGCGATGAAATATATGCAATTTTCAAACAATTTTCACAAAAAAGTTGAAATATTTTCTTCAAATTTTCTTCTTGTATGAATTAAAGAACTCTCAAAAAGTGATCCTGGTCTCATTTTCGGCTAATTCTCTGTATTTTCGAAAATTGAAAGAAGGAGAAAATTGAAGATAGCTATTTTTATTTTAAAGAAAACTGATGTAAAAATCAGATCTTTAAAAAAAATGTAAAGATCTGATTGGACAATAAAAACAACTAGAAGTTTTTGCGTACTATGTTTGAAGTTAATGCAATTTATGAATAACACTTCAAATACGTCTCGAAGTTTTTTCTTTAAATTATTTCCAAGGATAGATCAAAGAACGCTTAAAAATGGCACCAGTCTGATTTAGTCATCTGAATTTTCGAAAATTGCTATAATTAGAAATACTGCGAAAAAATGTGTGCTGTAGTGTGCCGGTTTTCTTGGAATTTATTTTTATTTCTTCCTAGTCTTGTTTACAAATAAACGTTGTAGGTCATTCGCAGTTTTACGAATCGCAATATATTTTTTTCCGGTAACGAGTCATTTCTTTTCTTCTTTATGCTATGGTTTAGATACGAAAAGTATTGGAATCACCTCGTCTACAAAATCATGAATTTTCTGTTCTGATAACCGTGTTAATGTTTTTTTGTGCTGTAACATTCTGCATACGTGTGGACTATTAGCACTGTTTCAAATATGATTAAGATTGGTGAAGGTGGCGAGAACATCCAGGCAATTTTGTACCCTGGAGATCAATCATCAATCCATTGAGATGGATTGATGGATGGTGGATGTATGGTTTTGTGCCAGACAACATTCTTAGAAAATAAGTTTTTGAGCTGCGGAACTTGGTAAATATGTCATGAGGATTTGTGCATATACGGAGATAATTAAGATATTTTAGTTTTGGGGTACTAAACATAAAGACCCTGTGACATTTTGAAAAAATCTAGAAAATCCATTTTATTTGAATAGAAAAAATGTGCACTTATTTAAATGCTCTAGTTCCAATTTTCATTAGAAATTATAATTGTTGAAATTGATTTTCGAACCTGCCTTTACCTCCAATATTACAATCAGAAACGTCTTATTGAATGCAATTCTTCGCACAATTTCATATTTTTAAATAGTGTCCGCAGTATATGTTGCTGTGTGACGATGCGAAAATTCACTTCTCAGGTTGAGAAAACCGGAATACGGCATGGGGATGCCTAGGTGCTGACAACACGTACTCCCTTAACCCATGGCCGCGAGGCAGAGTCGTCGCCGGTAGGTATGAACTCCTTCACGGGCTATCGCGCCAAGTACATACATAAATAGTGTCTGCAAGTATTTTTTATTAACCATTTTCTAATAAATCTGCCAGCAACTTGCGTTTTATTAAAATTACACGTCGATATCTGCGAAATATACCATTTTAGTAAATAAACGATTACACAAAACTGAGCAACTTTTGTGGTTCTAGTCGGTTTTAGCGTAGCAAGCTACATTAGAAACCGCTTCATTTAACCATTTAACAAAATCACTGTCGACCAGTGTTGCTTTTTAATTTTTAGTGCCGTTTGGACACAATAAAACCTATATTTGTAATGCGTAAACGTTCTAAGTGTAATCATAAATTTATGTAGGACCTCTATTAAGACATTTTCATTTGTTGTTTGTATGGCTAAAGAAGTACTAAACTCTCTGAAATGGATGTATTTAAAACAGAGCTTTTTTAATTAATATATGTTACATAAAATATTAAAATTTTGAACAAAACACCTTAACCCAAAATCTCAAAATTTACTTGTGCTATATTTTATTTTTTACTACTCTTTTATCTTTGAGTCCCCATTTCTCAAATCTTTATATTCAGTACTTTCATCCCTTGGCTTGCAGGCCTCTTTATTCTAGTGTTGTTTGGACAAAAACCCCTTCTTGGTGGCAACACTCAACACGGGTGTGTATTGCATGCAGCTTTCATGCACTCAACTAGTCAGTTACTATTTTGAAAGTTTAAAACCTTTGTAAATCAACAAAGAGTGCTTCGTATTCACTTTTTCTAATAGTATAGTTTGTGTAGTAACTTTTCTGTCTTGTTGTATGAACCTTTAAATGCGACTTTGATTATTGGCTCCATAAATCAAAGAGACATACCCAGGGATATCAGTGTCACAGGATTATATTAAAACTACTTAATACATTCATACATATCTGTACATTGTTGTGTGCGAATATGGAAAATATTCAGTGCATACAAATATGCAGAACAATACTATTTCTTGTTACAAGTGGAGGTTGCTTTCTAGGGGAACACTTCGGATTCTATTATTACGTTCTGGTTCCGAACGAGGTCCTTTAGGTCATTGCTTCCAAAGAATTGCCAATTTGCCCCACGTGTATTAGTTCTTATAATTAATCGTCGCGATACAAAGCCAAATAATGAAAAACATATGTTTTGGGAAAAACAAAGACCGACCTTCACTAATATTCCAACTTCATTAATATATTATTATACTTGGCTCATTCTAGAAAATTTAATATTTTGAAAATGAGTTAACATACACAATTGAAAATTACTGAGAGTATTTATGATTAATTATCGACGTTATAGAAATAATTCGAGTACTAAGAAACATTGCATTTTGCACAAATACTCTAGGTATCTTCTGTTTATTTTCTGAAGTGTTTTGATAAGAATGTATTGTAATATATCATACAAATTTCTATTTCTAATAAAAACTTTCAACTATTTAATTTAAAAAAACAAATAGCAAAATCGACTTTAAAAAATGTTTTAATTGAAAAATCATTTGCATACATTCTGCTTCATCTTTAGTTTTCAAGGGCTTTTATAGTCATTTTAATATTTATGATATGAAATATAGATTACAAATCTACTGTCATTACGTAGTCGTTTATTTTACATTCATGTCTGACCACTTCGCTTTATTGCGTTGAAGGGGACGGGAGAAGCAAGAGTCACTTCGGGATTAATACTAGAACAGTTTTTGGGAAATTATGTCAAGAAAACAAAATTACTTCATGATTTACAAATGTTTATTATAGTATAAAAAATATAACGAAATATTTACAAAGTGTTCAGATCTCCGTTCTTCTTGTGGAAGATGAGGACGTCCTTGAAGTACATGTTGGGGGTGTAGAAGTCCCATTCCTTGATGGGGCGGTCGAAGGGGAAGCCCATGGGGTAGGTGTCGGGGTACTTGACGTCGAAGCCTGCGCCGCAGCTGGCGAAGGTCTGGGGCACTTCCATGGGCCCTTCGTAGGGCGTGACCATGACGAACAGCACGAAGGGCATGCTGGTCTTGTACACCTTGGGCAGCAGCAGGCGCTGGGGGAAGCCGCAGTACTGAGCGATCTGCAGAAAAGAAAGGTGTGAATGAATCGTTCTGCTCCGAGACGGTTGAGACCTGAGCGAGGAAGAGGCAGGATAGTCAGCAACGGGGGTTACCTCGTCGATGTACATGTCCTCGTGGTTGTTGAGGGCGTTGTCCATCTTGCGCAGCATGTCCCAGGTGGTGGAGCGGTCCTTCATGGTGAAGGTGGAGTCGTAGGAGTTGCGGGTGATGACGGTCTGGCCGGTGGTCACTGTGGTGGCATAAACATATTGTCAGTATTGGAAAGGGCAATGCCATGGGAAAATCGAAATCATAAGTTTGTCGGCCAATGGGACTTACCCTTGTAGGGGAAGCGATCCAACTCAACCATGTAGCGGCGCATCTCGTCAATGTTCATCTCGTTGCCGGCAGCATCGTACTTGGGGCCGAGGAAGACGCGCACCATGACGTTGGCGGTCTTGTCGGAGTTGATGGTGAACTTGTAAGTGAATGGCTTGTAGTTGAGGCGCTGTTTGCGGGCCACGATCTTGAGGCGCTGACCATCCTCAACGGAGCTGACGTCATAAGCGTTCATGAGGTCCACGTCGAAGTCATCGAAGTAGGTGACGAGCTTGTCGGTCTCAACGGTCTCAATACGAACGCCAGGGAAAGACAACTACGAAGAGAAGAGAGAATGTTTAGTTTGATATGAGAAGAATCGTCGACAGTAATTGTAAGAATGAGTTCGATGCAAAGTACATAAATAAGTGGTGTGAGAGAACCACTCACCTCTTCGACAGTGTAGCGCTCAAGTTGCGTCTTGTAGCGGCGGAACAAGTAGTCAATGCGTGCGCAGGCCTGGTAGTAGATGGGGTCACGCAGGGTGGTGAAGAAGTACTCTGTGACACCAGGCAGGGTTCCGTGCGTGTAGTCGGGGTCGACAGTGGTAGCGAGAAGGCTACGCAGCTTGTTGTAGAGGGCGCCGTAGTACTTGTAGTTGACGGAGTTGTAGGAGCCGGAGATGAGCTTGCCGAAGATTTCGAATCCTTGTTGTTCGTAGATGGAGATTTTGGAGCCGTCCTTCTGTAAGAGGAGATTTAATGTGTTTATTGTGAAAATATGTGTTGCTATCCAATTTCAGTAAGAAATGCTGGGCAGTTTTACTTACGGTGATAACGTATCCTAAATCAATGGCGTCCCTAATTCGTCGCTCAATATCTAGGACATTGACCTTGTCGAAGTTATAATTGTCAGTGACATAGTAATAGTCGGGACGAGTAGGCACTTCCATTCCGTTGGGGTAGCGGAGCATGGGGGAGTAACCATACTGTGGAACGAAAATTGAAGTATTAGCAATAATAAAGTAATTTATAAATATTGTTCTTATGTCATCCATTCATAATTTTGAAGTAAATTTTATGAATGTCACTTATTAATTAACGGGCATAGTTGCCTGAAGCACATAAAACATATTTTTGTATTGAAAGAAATTTTCGATTCGTACCTTGACGGGCTTGTCGAATTTTAGGTACTCGACTTCGGGCAGTCCCAGAGCCAGGCGCTGCAGGTTGTAGCGGGCGAGGATTTGCTGCTGCACGTAGTAGAACAGTTCGCCGTAACGGTCCACAGTGTGTCCGTAGCGCTCAACCGTCATCCAGAAGGGGTAGAAAAGATGGAAGTAGGCATAGTAGGAATTCAGACCAACGTCTTCAGTAAAAGGGGCCATCATGTATTCAGGGTTGGCCGTCTTCATGTAGGGAGTGCGTGAGTAGTTGCTTGGGATGATGACCGTGCGAGTTTCCTGAGTAGTCACTCCGGCGTCTGAAAGAATCGTACAATTTAGAGCCAGTGTTCATTTGTATTTTCTATCCCTATTAGAAGCTAGGGTATGTATTAGAAAATACAAAATATTTTAAACCATGAGGATATCTCACATTGCATGCGGGCCTCGATGGCTTGCTGGATGGTCCTTGCATCAATGAAGAAATGGGGCATTATTTCGAAAATCGGCGGGAGCACGATCTGTTTGCAGTCGTCGCGATGAAAGACTGCCATATGCAAAGCGTAGACGAAGACATTCTCGTTGGTACGGTCGCGCGCCCAGCAAGCCGTCTGCAAAAAGGAATTTACGCATTAGATTAACATATTTTAAAAAATAAGTAAAAAAAAGGATATGTGAACATTGTTATTTGTGAGGAAATGCAGGGGTTATTTCTTTCATTGGTTTTGCCTTCGTTGATTTCATGGAAGTGTGTACAAGTTAACCTTCGTCAAAATGTAAGAACTACTTTTATGAGCAGGAACATTACAAGGGTCTTCTTGGTTTCTGTTTACGATTTCTTTGTTGTTTAGTGATGAAATATTTTACCAAATAATGTTACAATGATATTTTGATACGTTACCGATGTCAATGAAAATATCGACAAAAACTCGATTTTGGGTCGTCTCTAGGGATAGTCCTGTGTAAGTGTATCGGAAGTGTATCGCATTATTCAAATTCATTAACGTATCTTAAGCCATAAAATGTCCGATTGTGTATTGACTTCATATTTGTTCATAAATAATATTTGAAAATTAAATCATGGAAGTTTCGGGGTTTGTTCTTGTGAAACTTAAAATGTGAGATGATTTATAGTACAAGACTTACTGTTCATGTAACGATGTGCGAGGAACGTACCTTGTAGAAGGTGTCGAAGTCCTTAGCGAAGTAGAAGAGATCGAAGAGAGCGACGACCTCTTCCATCTGATACTCGCGCAGCACGGAGAAGATCTCCCCTCGCGGCATAAGAGTGTTCTTCTTCCACATGTCGATGTACTTCTTGACGACTTTGACGTCGGTGTAGCTGTCGAGCTGAGCTTCCAGATTCCACTGGTCGCCGATGCTCTTCTGTTCCAGGTACATGTTAGGTTGATGTACCCGAACTAAGAGTTGGACGAGTCCTTTCTGCTGTGTGATGATTTGTTTGTCGGCTAGTTTGAGAATTACAAATTGTTAGTGAAATGTTTTTAATGCGTCGCTAAATAATTGGAAACAATTTAAAAGGAATACACAGTTTTTGTGTATTTATAGTTTATTAGGTTATGTATTAGAGAATGCACCTTGTTAATAATCTCTTCTCGTGTTTACGCAACACTTCTCCAATTTCCCAGAGTAAAACGTAGAATTAATGTTACAGTTTGGTCTTAAGAAACTAAATTTTGGTATTTATGGTTGTTTGAATAGTAAACATGATTGTATTTGAGCTACGGCTCATTGAAAATCTGCGGCGATGTGAATAGTTTTTGTCTATGGAGAATTTCTAATTCACGATTTAGACGGTTTTATTGAAAGGAGGGAAATGAAAAACTGCCACTAAATATTTTCGATTCGATAGAGCGTAAACAATTGGAGAAGTATGGATACCTTCACACATGAGTTATACGAGAAGCGAAAACAAATGTGCGAATAGTCTTTTTTACGGACGACAATCGACTGTCGAGCAAATGTTGAAAATGAATTTAGAAAACATTGGACAACGAATTTAGTTAAAGACATACTTTGATTAAACTTGAAAAGAGAACCCCCAAAAAATTAAAAATACATCACTGGGAGGACACATATGTTACAGAATAAAATTCAATTACAAATTACTAGCCTTCGAGTATCCTTTCATTTATCAATGATTACCAGCAAATACTCAGCGACAAATTGAACCTTAATATTTATGATTTTATATTTCAAGTCATGTCATTAAAAACTCCATTATTGTGTGCATTATGTCTCGATTTTTCTTCAAATTTGTTGAAATCCCACAATTATTTTAGTCTCCCGCGTGCAGTTTCCCCGCCACAGTACAATCGCTTTGTGACGGCTAGTTGTCGTTACTTACCGACAACCTTCTTGTAAGGCCCCTGTGGCGCCACGTGGGCGGAGGCCGCCAGCGCGAGGAGCGCGAGGAAGGCTGCTGCGGTCTTCATGGCTGTGGGCGCGGGACGACTGGCTGGGGGGCCGCCGGCTCTTATATAGCGCTTATCGCTTGTGACCTGACGATACGATGGGGTGGGGGGTGGGGAATGGACGACACGATCAGCGAGAACTTGTATGTTTCATCTCATTCCAAGTCACTTAACACGTCGAGAAATTATAATTATGCCTACTTAGCCATGTGTGAGATTTCCGCGCGTTGAAATTATAGATTGAAACAAGTTATTGCAGTTGACCTTGCATTTTGTTGGAAGTTAATATAGACCATTTTTGCTGATAAATATTTTGAATGGATTTTTGCCAGTGTCTCAAACCCATGCATTAAACTATAATAACTTTTTGTAGTATAATTCATCATAACTACATCCGGTCCTCCGTGTGTTTTGCTTTTCGTCATGCATTCTTACGTACACTGAAATATTTCCTCTAATAGCAATGTCTCGTTTTTACTATAAAATAATAATGGAATAATAAAATATGCTCAGTCTGCATTTCCGCAATCATATAGTAGAGCGGAATAAAATAAACATAATGCAAGAGAATAATTTTTTCATCTTCGTGGAAAATGAACGTGGTAATTTGTCCATTGTTGCAAGTAATTACGTCTTTTGACGAGATTTAGGAATTCTTGAAGAGAACTGTAATTTTGTCGCATTTGTTTTTTGATGTAAAATATCCAGTGTAAGAGAAATTTCAGATACCATTCCATAACCAAACGGCAGTTTGGAGAAAGGTGAGATATAGATCTACTATTTTTATTCCATTGCTTCTAAAAAATAAATGAATGCAAAAGTTTGCGTTTATTTAATATTCAGTGCATTTTCCATTATCCAAACAAAAACATTAAAGAAATAATTTCGAACCGTTTTAAGAAAATGTCGTTTGAGCAGTATGCGCAATTGTAGATTCATTTTCACAGAAAACATTTGAGTTTTCTCGAAAGGAAGGCGCCAAAAATGTTAAACTTTTGCAGTTCTTGAAATTTCGGAGAAAACTCATCGAAAATGGAACATGTCTAATTTTTTGCAATTTTTATGCTGGGAAAAACATGCAAACATTTTTGAGAATATATTGGATATGTTGTTGAAACTGCATGTAAACAACCTCTAAAAATGAAATTCAAAGAGCCGCCGCATCAGTCAGATCGATCGGGCAATATCAATTTTGGTCCAAATCCTGCCTACGGTTTAGCCAGTAGTGTGGTTCACGGACGGACAGACAGGCGGACGTTTTGCCGCAAACGAATTTTGTGTTGTGATGGACCCACTACTTTTGTTAGAGTAAGTAAGTTACTACCTATTTTGGAACAAGATTTATACACTTGTTTGACGCATTACAATACTTCATACTACGTAAGTAGTATGCAAGAAAGCAAAATACACCAATTAATTACAAATACAGCATTTACTGAATCGATTGATTGAAGATTCCGGGCGCGTCAACGGCTGTCGATAGTCCCGTAAGTGTAGTGTATTCTTTTTTGTCGAAACGAGGTGGCCGGTGAGATCCGATGTCGACTTACGTCAGCTTGCGGGACTTTCCCCATCCGCCATACGCTGCACCGCCCCAGCCGGAACAAGCTCTCTCGACAAGTGTGATTGCTAGTGCATGTGAGTTTAAATGTGCGTAAGAAAGGGCTGAAGGTAGGACATGCAGGGGAAGAAAACACCGGGCGGTTCGTGGCCAGTTTGTTAGGGTACTGCTCCGGCATTCGCCTGGGGTGCATCGGGGAATCCCGAGAGAATTCCTCTCCAGACAGCGCCTAGTTCTTAGCTAGTGTCGAAACTCCTGTCACTGCCTGTCGGGACTCGAACCCTTGGACCTTCCGGTCTGACGCACCGCAATGCATCAATTCATGCCCTGAGCCACATTTGCCGGTTTATCACTTACTGAACAACGTGCTTACTGAAAGATAATAAAAACATTTTGAAATTTTGAAAAATAAAAAGGCGTTTTATTGTATTATTCAGTTTATTTAACACTATCCGTTCAATAAGATTAAAGAAACTAGTGATGCTTCAACAGCACATACTTTTTTTGCTTTATTTCTAACTTACGCAGTTTTCGAAAGTTCAGAGAATTTACTGAAAGAGATAACTGCGCCAATGAAAATGAGATCAGGTTTTTTGGAACCAATTTTAAGATACCTTAAAATTTGTATTTTTGCAATATTAACCTCTTGCAATTTTTGAAAATACATAGTTCTCACCACTCATTTTATCGTTCTTTGATACAGAAGGAGAAAATCTAAAGAAAAAAATTGGAGCCGTTTTTTAGAAAGTAATGGTTCAATAATAATTATGTATACTACTAGTGGACCCTGCGGTGTCTCGCTATTGCTCTGTGCTACAGTACACTTCACGTCTACTGGTTCCGTGATTGTTAATCACGTATTATGGTGCGCTGTGCAAAAATTCTTACAGGTGAAAGGCTATCTCGCGAGTATGGGTTTGTTCTATGTCTTGGTTTGGACATGGTTGTCAAGTAGCCTATAGTTAAAAAGTTCTCCCTTACGTGTGGGCGTTCGTTTGCTACGGCACTGTCATAGAGAAATCTAATTTACTTGTCTGAGATAACGTTCAAGTTCCGGCCGATATTTCGTAATCGCAGGGGCAGAATATAATAGCGACGGGTATGCTTGACACCTTATGGTGCGGCTGGTTGCGTAGGGATTCTATTCAAGGGGCTTAAGTCACCATAAGCGCATAAATAATTATAAACAACGCCCACACATATCCAATTTAATTCAAACCACTCGTTAAGCACTTCCGATACTAATAAGAACAAAGTGTGTACATTTAAACGGACGAATAATTTTTGCATCTATGTGCGGCAGACATACGCACATTCCCTTTTCTTTATGTAGCTCGTTATTTCAGGCAAAATTTCGCCAAAACGTTTCGTAAAATTGTACATGACCTTTTTAAAAACATCTGACATTGAACAACAGATTACATTGAAGAAATTAATGGTGCTACAGCACATGCTCTCTCACATTATTTATAAATTTGCAATTTTCGAAAAACAGAGTTCAACGACATTAGATTTGCTTCATTCTTTTAACCCATTTCTTCCCAATGTTGCGTAAACGTAACGCAATATTTACTATTTTATTTTACCTACACCATTCTTTGAAAGTGTTTTTAGTTTTTATACAGTAAATACAATTCTAAATAACTTTAAAACTATTTTTGTGTGATAAATATATACTACATGAATTCTCAGTTTAAGTTTTTTCTCGATCAAGGCTCGTGCCATATTTTGTCGACTCCACAATATCTAACTTTTGATCTTGAAATTTGTGATCGATGTGAATTGCGAAATAGAAAATGTATTGCAAAATATAATGTTTACAAATAAAATTGTTTAATGTTTCAGTAGAATGTGATTTTTAAAACAATTTTTATGGACAAATAAATATTGTGTTGTGTTTACGTAACATTGGGAGTTTCCCAGCAGATTTGGGAACGGTCATATTCTATTATGGCGCCACGACAAAAGGTTCATTGGAGCTTAGTATTTCGAAATAGATGTAATATTAGGTAGAATGTGCTCTCTTTGCTTTGTTCCGTTGACAGGTATGCCAAAGGATATAATCTCTGTAGTTTTGTCGGCTCTAAAACAAGCCATGGCATAGTTGTCCCTCTCTACTCGAAATAGTTTGCGCGGTCTTTCGGCGATACGAGTACCAATTGTGAAAGGAAGAACATTTTGAAACAAGTTTTAATAGATCTATTCTATTCATTTCGATTAATAGAACCTTAGGTAAAGAATAGAAATCTGTAAAATTGAGCCCATTCTTTGTTGAATGAACAAAAGACATTTGTAATTCCGGGAAATGTAGGGCATTATAATAAGAAGAGAATGAGAGAAAGACAAAAGGTCCATGTTGATTTTATAAATTAGTAATGCTAAGAATGCATGCAAACAACGTAATATTCGTAAGAATAGGACAATTTTGGAACGTTAAAAATATCAAATACATTTAAATTCCATTTGATTTTTACACCTTCATTCATAAATTCAAATTCTGTTTTCTTATCAGTAAAATTAGTTGACAATATTGGACAAAACACCGATATTTTTTTTAAAAGCGGTCAATACACGTTGCGTATAACGACCAGCTTCAACCAATAACCAAAATATTTTACCAAACTGGTTTAGCTATCTTTGGATACTTATTATCAATATTTAACTAAAGTGTATTCAACAAATAAAGTATTTCACTTGCTAGGGAAGAAATGGGTTAAGCCTTCCTTGTTCTGCTGTGGAAAAGCCTAGCGTAGTCCAGCCGACTGGTAGTGTGTGCCTGCCCTGAGGGGAGGAGGATCGTTATGGTGATAGCTTGTTATTACGTGCACTTAAACGCACCGTGTCTGCTCCCGCACGAGACACAACTTCGTTCACGAGAACTGCAATTGGTGCGCTTCACAGATTTTCCGTTCATGCTTCGGTGAATAGGCACATTTTGTAACTTTTTATGCAAATTACAGTATTAATTACAGTTCGGGCACTCGACAATTGCCGTTGTATTGACAAACCGATTAAAATGTCATGTGTAAAATAGTGTCATTGCCAAAATTGCCTCAAATAGTTTCGTTTGCACAAAGGCAACCAAAACTTTCCGTGACGCGCAGACACGTCTGCCCGCAACGGAGATCGCTTAGAATCTCGTTATTGTTGTAGTGCGAATGCATTAGGAAAATGAAGTAAGCGGGGACTGCTTTGTTCAATTGAATTACCGGATTCAAACGCTTCCATCTGGTGGCTTTGGTTTATGTGGGTGAGAGCGGCTGGCGCTGCTTTCGGGGAATCAGCTGCGCGGCCGCACACGTGTGCGGACAGGAGTGTGACCTGCTTTTCTGCAGACGCGCAGAGAAGTGCACGATTCCAGCTCCTTAAATAAGACAGAGCCAATGGCTTAGAAAATAAAATGTACAGTGTATGAAATACGCGCTGAGTATGCCGCGCAGAAAACAGTTGCAATCATAATTGTAGTGCGATGTACGATGATAATAGACGTGTGTATAT